TCACTCTGCCAATGTGCCTACCAAGATTGCTAAAAGAAATCCTTCCCCATTCCAGGTGCCTGCCTGCCAAGTGATACTATTTTTTTCCCCCTTTTTTTTTTTTCTGCAAAAGTTCCCAAAGCTGAAGCAAATACCTGATTTCATGTTTGGCAATGCTGAACCAAGATAGAAATGGACTGGAAACGCACTCCAGTTCTGGGGCTTTGCTTCCTTTTCCCATCACTTATGACACTAATTATACGCACAAGGCAACTTCATCTGCATTGGGTGGAATGGCTCGATGCACAGTGGAGTTCACTGAGCTCATCTCCCCGCATTCCTGAGCCAGTCAAGCGTGCATTGTAACTGCAGTCACAGCAAGTTTCCAATGTGCTTCTCCACGACCCTCTCCTCTCTCTCTCTCTTGCCTTTTTTCTTAAATTCTTTCCAAAGCATAAAGTCTTTCTGGAAAACAATCAGAGCATGACTTCTATCCAGTTCCTCATCAGGCTAAATTTGTCCCTGCTTCTGCACAGTTTGCTCCTTTCCTGTTGAATAATTCTTCATCATCAAAATAGAATAATTATATTTACTAAGCATCGCTCTAGCTGTATGCCTCAACCCTGAGCTAACGAGCCTACACGGACACCTACACGTAGGGTCAAACAAGGTCAAAGAGCATCCAGGGAAAAATACATTTGCAAATGCCAAGGGTACATCTACACCACAATCGCAGAGAGATCCGTTTTACTCTCATCCCATGTGCATCAACTCCAGGAACAAGGCAGTGGGAACACAGTAGCTAAGTACAGAGTCAAAAAGCCCAAGGCCCAAGATTAGTCTAAGCTGTGTAGATTGGACAGATAAGCAGGTGAACAGACATTCGCTTTTGATTCTGAAAATGCGGCCACGTGGCCCAGGCCAGATGCCAGCAGGCACTAGAGCACACCTCCCTGCTAGGCTGGAGCAGACAACTTGGGCCAAGGCTAGCCTACCCACCCTGCAAAGGGGGATTTGCAAGGGAGGTGCAAAGTATCTTGGGATGCTGGGGGACTATGAATTAACCTGAACCTGGAGGGGATCTGGGACAGAAGTTCAGTAAACTGATTTAACCTAAGTCACTTATGTCTGATACTACATCCATCCAGGTTTATCTTAAACCCATTTTGAAACCAGTTTATGTGCACTGAACTTCTGTCATGTTTCAGACTGGAACCAGTTTCTGATCACTAATACCAGTTTGTGTAATTTCTGACCCTAGCCAGTGAGAGTATCTCAAACTGCTGCTCTAGAAACCCAGATCTTGGGTTAAGCATGATGGCATATGCATTCCCAGGGTGCATGATGGCATATAAATTCCCAGGTTGCTCTCACCACCTTATTTCCATGGTTAATGCATGCAAGTAGAAGTGAGTGGGTGGGCCTTATTGCCTTGGTAGTGAGGCTGAGTTCTCTGGTCCCATGGGTGTAGACATCCCCCAAGCGACCTATAAATCCCTTACATGGGTTATGCTAATGTAGGAAACTAATAGCCTGCTAAGCCTTTGCTCCATGAGTATGAGGGCCTTGTTGTACATTAATTTCATGCAGCTCCTGGAGTTCTTAACCCCTGGACTGTCCACACACTAATACTGGAAACTAATTTTAAGCACACTGTAGGTGGCTTCAGTCTGATCTGTGTTACCGAGCTTGAGTTCCATTAGTGTATGGCCACTCCCCACAGATGAGCCACCTAAGTTGCAGTCCTTCAGCATCCCAGCATGCAGTGTTCCCTTCCTCACCCTCCTGTTCTGTGTGGACGAACTTTCCACCCCATGAACTCTGTCACTCGGGCGGTGGTTCTGGCACCGAGCCAACTCTGCCTCCTGCCCCCAGGGGTGTGCCAGATGAGTTTAACACATCGACCTTCCCACGCCCAGCCAGAGGTGCAACCTCATGCAACAGCCTACAGACCACAAGCACTGAGCCAGGATGCAGGGCATGGGCGGGTCCAGGAGTGGGGTCTGTAGGGGTGTGGGGGAAACATGGTAGGGGGCTGGATGGGGTCCCCATGAGCTGGGCCTTCCTTCCCAGGACAGGGGCAGTAGCTCCCTTACCACTAAAAGCCGCCGTGGGAAGCATAACCAGCATCACCCAATACCTGAATCCTAACATCCAATTTATTAAAACATGAGATTTTCTTTAATTTACTTTATCTTTATTTTTTTTAATTCTGTTTAACCCTTCAGTGGCTGACTTGCTTAGTTTCACCACCCTTCCCCCACCCCCATTTCCTTTCCACCCTTCATTTCGTTACTCACCCCATCCCATTAACCCTCCACCTCCCAGCATCATGTTCCTCCCACCTGGCACCACCTATCTCTCAACACCCCCACACCTAGAGCAAGGCTAGAAGTCTGTCCTGGCTCACCAGCCCTATGGTGGCAACTCACAGCTGCAGCTCCTAGTCAGCCCCCTGCTCGCCAGCCCTCTCCTGACCAGTCACAGGTTAGGTCAGGGATGGTCAGAGAAGGTTTTTAGCTTTAAGGTGTGACTGCTCCAAACTCCAGCTACCAACATTTGAGCAGCTCAAATTGCAGTGCGTAACAAGGCCCTGAGGCATTGTTCTGACAGGGGATGGGCATTATCTTCCCTACCAAACAATCCTGAAGAAGGGTCCAGTCCCAAAATTCAATGGGATCCATAAAGGTAAAGAGCCATCATCACCATGGAGACTCGGGTCTTCCACTCAGGATACTGGTTAACCTGTTTCCCTTCCTGGTTGGGCAGCTCCTGCAGAAATGTATTTTTTGCAGCTGAAACTGCTGATTCATAGAAACCAGACCTTTCTCTTTAAACTCAGTGGTTTCTTTCATTTAGAAGCTGTCTCGGGCTTGGTTGAAATGAGAGAGAGGAAGAGAGAGACGGACAGAATGAGAGAGAGGACAGATCTAGCTTAGGGACATGCCATAAATACCAGCCTCTCTGCCCTTAACACCAAGCGATTGGCTGTTGGGAGGTGGCTCACTCAGTCTCTCTTCAGAGCTGTATTGCTTTGCGTAAATAAATGTACACTGAGCTAGAGCAGAGCTGTCAAACTCATCTGGCCTCATGGACCGGATGAGTGGTGTGGGACCGGTCCATAGGCGAGATGAGTGGCACGGGGCTGGCCCCATGACTTGGATCGGGCTCAGAGACACTCCTCCCCATGCTGGCTGGATCCAACATGCCCAGTGCATGCTCTGTCTGGTCCAGGACCTGGAGGGAAGAGGCCCAGCATCCCAAGTGCTCGGCTGCCCTCAGGGGAAGATGCTGTGCTGCTGGATTTCTTCCTGTGGTGCTGCTGGGCCTCCCGTACCACTGTTCTCACCTGGGTGCTTGGTAGCCAAGTGGGCAAGAGCTGCAGTGCTGGAGCCCTAGGGAGGAAGCTGGACACTATGGGAACTTGCAGGACATCACAAGAACAAGCTGTGGTGTTGGGCTTCCTCCCACAGTGCTGCTGGGGCTCCCACCTAGGCGCTTGGCCACTACTGTGGGAACAGGCCATGGCATTGCTCAGGCTCCACAGCCACAGGTCTCACCCAGGCACCTGGCTGCAGCCACAGGACAGTCCCCCATCACAGCCAGAATCAGGGCAGAAGTCTGTGGCCAGAGCCAGGCTAGAGGCTATATGTTTGCCACCCCTGGACTAGAGAAAGGCTGACTCTACAACTTAATGATTAGAGCAGTGCAAGGATTCAAACCTGAGATGGGCTTTTCTGCATCCTGGGTGAGCAGCCATGCCACCCTACGACTGGTTGTACGAGGATCTCTCAGTTTCCTCAAGAATTTCTGAAAGTCTCCGTTTCGTCCCACGGCAGATTGCCAAAAAAAAAAAAGCTTGGGAACGCCAAGGTTTTATGGAAAAGGCTCCAGCTGTGAGCGCTTCTACATCTCGCTTCGCTTAGCACCCATCTCAGGGAGGCAAGGTTCAACTTACAGACAAGGAGAAGGTGGGTAGCCGTGAGTCAGCCACTCGAGTTTAGCTGGGTTATCGGATGGGGAGCAACACTGCACCCAGGGCTGGTTTCATTGTTGTCAGAGAGGGGAAGGAAGCAGAAACCCATTCCCTTCTCCACTCACCCCCACTAGGATTTCTATCCCCATCCATCCGCAAAGGATGGGACAATAGAGAAGCTAAGAGAGCCGAACTAAATGGATTAGCATCATTAAGAGAGGGCAGAGGGAGGTTTGGCACAGATTCAAAGAAGAGGCGATGTTAAGACTGAAAGGGGAGTCCCATGAGGAGAGAGCTCTGCAACCTAGGGGACACTTGGAGATCAGAGGCCACCATCTGCAACAGATCCCCCATGAGAGGTGCCAGAAAAGAGACCCGCCAAGAGAAGGAGGCCCTGAATCTATCCAGGCCTTTTCAAGTGACCGGGGCTAAACACAAGCCCATGTAGGCAGCCTATGTAGTAAGCATGGTGTACACGGTGACTAATGAGACTTATCTGATATGCAGGGCCAGCTCCACCACTGAAGTAGGAAAGCAGCATAGCCCCAGTGGCTTCTGTGGAGTCATGCTGAATTACACCAGCCGAGACCATTGCTACTGTGGCCCTATTACAGTTGCTAGGCATTGATAATAAAGAATTCAAGCCCACTTGGATGAAATCATGTGAATGTGTGCGCACACACACACATGCACACACCAGGATTTTTTTTGATATATATATATTTTTTTTTTTATCCAGAAGCCTCAGATCCCAAGCTTTTGTCAATAGGAGCCGGGCTATTTCCTTGCTATTTTTAGCAGTGATGCTTTGTGTGTGTAACAGCTGTCAGACACAGAAAACTGTGCTCCTTCGAACAAGACCTTTAGAAAAATAGACAGCTTCTTAACTACAGCGAGTAACGAAGGACAGCAGCTCGATGCAATGCTCCGGCCTGAGATGCTGGAGATAGCAGAGGGCAGCACCAAGGAGCGCGTAGGAGCGAGAAAGACAGAGAGATGTCCATCTCTGGCCATTACTCCAGACAGTGACGTCACAGGCTCTTACCTTGGCACACAAAGGAAGATGGAGTTTCCCCAGGGTGGACACGAGCTGTGATGAACACCACTTTCTGCTCAGCTCCTGGCTTCAGGTTTACTGCAGGGGGAGGGTGGGGTGGAGAGAGAGAGAGAGACAAAGATCCTTAAACGAGGTCCCCTATGCAGGGCACAAAGGACCATTAATATTAAAGTGTATCCTTTTATTAAAATGGTTCATACATTATAAATGGGGGTAATCTATAATTAAAGGAAGCCGCGTCACTAGCTATTCAGCTCGTGTAGGAGGGAAGGCTATGCAAACAGCAAGGGTTGCGAGTCTAATGACACAAAGCCAAGCCTGCAACAACAAAGTTAGCTCCCTTTTTAAAAACCGAGATTTACTGCAGCGAGTTTAAACTGCACGGTAATTGCTCTCTCACTTGTGATAAATGTCCCCCTGGGGCGACAAGAAAACCAGTGGGGTTCTATTCATATTGTAAAGCCAATTGCCCCCTGCATTACGCTTGATACAAGGCTTAGCATGGTGCCAAATAAAGGTAAAAGTGCTTGCAAATGACATTTATTGGACTGGGCTTCACCTTGTTTTTAGCTACGTTGGCCTGAGCCTGCCTTTGCCAAAAGATGGGCTAGAGGGATTCAAAATCAGCACAGTATGGGAAACAGACAGGAGGCAAATGGGCAGAGGAACAACAGGCAGAGAAATCATTCTCCAGGAACGGCTTCACCCGGCATTAAAACGCAGACACCTCTAGGGTGGAACATGCCAGCTATTTAACCGCACACTGAGCGGTTGCAAGGGATGAACATGCTACTATGCCATTTGAAACTATGGACAGATGGGAGGGAGACTTAATAGTTAGGATGCAACTACTTGTGCTGGAATTTAGCCAGGGTCAATCCCCAAAGTAGGCAAAATTAAATACTTAAAACTACAATTGAAACACAGAGTCAAGACCATATAAACAATATGGAGCAGGCAGCTTGTTTCCCTCTATTTTTTTTTCCAAAGGCATTGCTTAACAAAAGGAAATAAAGATGATTTTTTTTTTTCTCAAATGGGCTCAGGGAATTTTAAAGTCCATAAGAAGTCAGGACCTCAGCCACAAATCTCATCTAGATCTACCCAGCTCGGTAGGGGTAACGATAAAAACAGCAAGACGCGGTTGCCATAGATTTCTTTATTTTCAGTTGAATCCCTTGCAGGGAAATAAAGTTTTAAAATATAAAGAGAATGAGATCTAAATTTACCAATTTTTTAATTAATTATAGACATGTATTATGTATACACACAGGCACGTGCGCACACAGAAATATGGGCCTTTTAATTTCAAGCGTCTTGTGGAGTCTAGAGACCATCCCTAATTTTCTTATTCTTATTTTTTTTTTTTTCTGGTTCACAGAAATGCTAATCCCAGCCAGAGGCAAATCAGCTGACACTAAAATAATCAATACATTTTCCGTTCTTCTCAAGAAACAATCAGACAAGAGACCATAGCAGGGTTCTTTTATATTCCTTTAGTCTCTCTAAATGTCCTACAGCTGCTCAGCCTGCAATGCAGCCATTCATTTGGTCTTTGATACGCTAACTTCACTCCTCTCTGGCTCGGTTTTGAGCCCGAGAGGCATAGAAATATAAGAAAGAATGTCTTTGACAAAAGTAGCAGCTGGTGGGGTCAACCCCTTCTGCAGGAGGAAAGGAGGCGGCAGCAGAAAGGAGCACAGCATCGTCAACAAGGACCTGATGACCACCCAATGTCATTAGTGTTAACACCGAGTAATGGATGAGGAAGGAGATAAATCAGTCCCAACTGCACAGATGAAAAAGGGAAGCCTGGGGCAGCCAGAGGGGTGTTTTCTTCCCACTTGTGGTGAGGGGTGGAAAAAAAACCCGCTCGCATTAAATGGCAGGTGCTCCACAAGGTTGACCACTCCCAATAAAACCGAGGGGAGCTGGACTGTGCATATGGCTCTATAACAATTTATGCTTGTCAAGTAGCTGGCCAAGGGTTTTGAGAGGATTCATTTTACATATCCTACGTCAGATTCCATAGAAAAACTTCCTTTCTGGGTAACCGGTAAAAAATGTAGTTAAATTCTTTAATGTTGGGAATATACTTCCATATTCTGGACCTGACCCAAAACTCGCCGAAATGAATGGAAGGGGGTGTGCTGATTTTAGTGGTAGTTTAGTCAAGTCGTGCAATAATCATAAGATGAATTGAACTCCTCTCCACCCAATAATGCAAAGTTCACTGTATGCTGCAAAATGTATCCGGATGGGAACGTTTCCTGCTTATGTCTTGTAAATAGCTTTTCGAAACACATCGATCAGAAGGATTACATACTTATTTTCCTATACATCTCTATACATACTTTCTAGCATGCTATCAGGTCCAAAAATCCTTCCCTGTGAGTTTACTCCTATCTCAGAGGTCTTCTTTCTTAAAAATACTGTGTTTTTCCATTATTAAACGTAAATGGATATTTTACCTCTACTCTGGTTGGACAACAAAACAAATTTAATTCCATTTATGGCCCTGTGGGTTTCCCCAGTGTTTGTACTGTGAATGCTGCAGGGAAGTATATTGTTCCAAACTGGAGGAAAAACCCAGTGTTTTGGCTGGATTGTTGGAAGTCATTGCCTTATTTTGAGAAGCACTCGGTTTGGAAAATACTTTGGTTAAAAAGGAAATCATGGAAGAATGACTTTAACAAATTATATGTTGAACTCATGTGTCTCTTAAATGCAGTTGAAGCTTTTGAGAGATGCTGGGTAGCCTGCTTTAGAAAGGAAAGTCTACGTAACTTCTTAGAGGATGGAGGACCACCTACACTGCCCTCTGAATATGCTGGAAGAAACACCTTAATATGGGGGACCAGGAGGTCAGTATCCAATGGCCTATTCAAAAATAGTTCAGCTTCTTCAAAAAGTAATTCAAGCAGCAAACCAATTAATTCTCGGCGTGGACACCTCTCCACTGGGTAGCAGGCTAAGAGTACCAAACTGCTCATACAGGCCACCATACAGCTGTCAGATAGCAAAGGCTAGACACAGGCTCCAAAGCTTGGGTTCTCATCTATCACCCCAAAGTCTGCAAATCTTAGACTGAGAGGTAAAATGTATGCAACTGAGGTCCCACTCTAATAATGGCTTTCATTACTGACTGACGGTGGGCTACATAGATTCAGACTCGTAGCCGAAAAGGTGATGTGCTCACGAACTCATTCCCAGCCCCCAATCCATCCTGCCTCATTTATACTTCTGTATAGATCACACCTGCAGTCCTCAGGGTTTTCCTCTTTTCATCAGATATATTTTGGAATAATCTAACATGCATTTTAAACTTCAAAAAGTTCCATTTTTACACCAGAAGAAAAGATGGAAGGAAAGAGAAGGAGGGAAAAAAAACCCAACCTCTCTTCATCCATCTTTTATGTAATCCAAAAAATAAAAGAAAGACAAACCTCGACACTCTAACAATGACTGCTATCGAGCAACAGAAATCAGGACACTATATAGTCCTGTCCTTCCTTCCCTGTCCAAACCCTGCCTCTCTTCTTAACTTCAACGGTCATTAACAAATGCTTCCTATTTTCTACTTTTTGATTACAAAGCTCAATTAAAATTCAAGTGCTTCGAGATAGGCAACTGGCTTGACAAATGCTAGAGTGCTTCAGATGTGCTAGAAAGGAAAAGAAAACCGTGCACCAAACCCTGACAGGGTATCTTCCACAAGCAAAAGCGCCGTAACCATCAATCTCAAGAATGGGATGACAGCATATTTGCTGAAAGGCCTTTTCATTAAGGAGAGAACAAGTGGAATTATTACATATTTGCTTGCATTTTGCTCTGCAGTGCTATCACGCTAAGTATTACCCAGAAGACCGAGCCAGGTTTTTTTGGTTTTCTGTTCAATCCCCTCAGAAAAAAAAAAAAAAGCACCACCAGCAAAAGCATTAATGTCTGTTTTTGCCTGGGCACCAGCTGAACTTGTTAAGCCATGTTCCCTTGGGGCTATTCCCCATTGGTTTCTTTGCTTACAGTGCTCTGGCTGGCCTTACGGTTCATGCACATGCCTTCCTGCCATGCTTTTCTGTGATCCGTTTTGGGGGGAAAATATACCCCTAAACAAATACGTGCAGGCCAAGGGTATTAGCCAAACCAAACAACGTTCACATCAACAGCTGCTCCAACTCAAAAGTGTTCACAATGGTGATAAGTCGGCAGTGAGCAAATGTTCCACTAAGGAGAAATCCACCTGGATGTGAAGTACAAACAAATATGCCATTTGTATCCAGGCACAGGCCTAGGTTGTTTCCCCCTATGCAGGAAGGAAGGAAGAGAGGGCAGACCTGTAACCCAGTCTGCAAATCCTAAAAGATAAAAATCCTGCTGCTTGTACAATGCAAATCTATAAGTGCCCCCAGTGGAGTGATAGCAATTTCAAGAGGTATATGGTAGTGTAGCCATAATACTGGGTCATCTCTGCACAAACCAGCCATTCAGGGCACTTGCTACCTGTGATGCCTTCTACCCCTTCTCCCACACACAGCTCTTCCCATTCCCACTTACACACTGGCCATAGAGAGTGTTGCGCTATCAGAAAAATTGTTGAAGAAACTGTAGTGATGCAAGTTATCATTTAGAGACATCCACTAATTCAGAAGGGTTGAGAATTGGGAAATGGCCCCTCGGTTAGGGAACTGCTGTTGGAGTCAAAGGGTCTTTGGAGGTCAGCCTACTGCTCCGCAGTTAAAGTTCAGGGTTTAGTTCTTCTCCGTCATTGTACACGTGCATTTATTGAACCCGATGATCATTAAAAAGGTCTCTTTCATTTGGAAATGTAGTTTAGCCAAGATCAAAATGTGTCATGGCAACATGTTCATTTCAACTATTTTGTTCCTTGGGAAAGTTGTAATTAAAGAATCACAGGAGGGACCTCAGGAGGTCATCTAGTCCAGCTGGCTCAAGTAAGATCAACCCCGTCTAAACTATCTTAAACAAGTATTTCTAACCTGTTCCTAGAAACTCAAGGAACGACCCTCAAGCACAAGTGAGGCATTTTGATTACGTTATCCTCATTCACCATTACTTTG